AGGCAGTACCATTATATAATTATAAAAAATATGTACAAGGCTATATGCTCATAGTAAAAAAAAAAAAAAAACACAACACAGGAAGTATGCTCATAGTTCTCGCCGCCACCAGCCGAGCCATCTCCGTCGCCAAGTTGGGAAGAGCCGTCGTCATCAGCAGGAGGAGGGAGAACATACAGAAAGCTCAAATCCCACTCAGGGTGTTGTTGTTTGATCAATTCTACAATTTGTTCCCCAGCAGATTGAAAATCTTTGGTATGGATTTCAATGAGCTCTTCAGAAGTCATGAACTCCTTAGCAATTTCCTTGCGCTTGGCAACGAAGTCTTCCAAGTTCAGATAATTCTCAATGGCCGCAAGCTCGGCTTCGTTCTTCCCCTTCTCCCCTTCTGCTTTCCCCTCGGCAAAATATTTCTCCCTAGCCTCGGCCGCTTCTTTCTCCGCTATCTCCGCCCATATAGTAGTCTTTTCGACCTGAGTCTTCAGATTGGCCAACTCATTTTGTAGGTCGCCAGTTTGGCCACGGCTACATCCTTCTCCTCGATGGCAGTCGAGCATTTAGACTTAGCATCATCAAGGAGAGATGTAAGTTTTGCTTCTAGACTGTCCATTTCCTTGTCACGTTCCTCAACCTTGACCAGGCCAATAAGGTTAAGGATGGCGAGGACAAGGCCCTGAAAGTGAATCAGAGGTCAGAAAAGAATTGTAAGTCAAGTATAAAAATAAACAGTCGATGCTTACATGGATCTAAAAGGATATATGCTTACGCTGACGATCCACCAGAGAAGAATGGGAAGCGGAGACCCAATGCTTGTCAAAAATGACTCGTATAGGGCCTGAAAGCCCAGGGAGAAGCGAGAAGGAAGATTCAGCATCGACTCAATTTGGTTGTCGGAGACATCCTGGACCTGGAAAGTCGGGTCCATAACCTTCGCCTCAGGCAGGAGGAGGCACTCCTTGGGCGGAAGGGGGAACCTCGGCGACGTCGGGAATGGGAACCACCGGCGTCCAGGTGCCCCCAATTACCCGCACCTCTTCCGTATGAACCTGCTTGGGCGCAGGAGCCTCTAACATTGACCCCGAGGCACCCCCTAAAGGCTTCCTCTTCTTCGGGACAGAAGAAGAGACGCCAACATTGACTTTCACTTTCCCCTTCTACTGAGGTCGGTTGCTGGTGGAGAGCTAGATGTTCAGAGCAGACATTTCTGTATGATTGATAAAGTTAGATAAAAAGGGTCGATGTCGAATCATATTATCTATGGCGGCAAACTCAAAAATTTACCTTCTGCGTTCAGGTGAAAAAACTCTTAAATCGCAGGGAGGTTTGTCGGACGCGGAAGGGGAAGGATCAGCCCTGCTTCCCTGAGGTTAGCCTCGGTTAAAAGGACATCGATATGGCGATCGCCCTCTGGAATCGCAAAGGCCTCATCAATCCTTGCCCTTCTGTTCCCTGCTAGCTTCGGACAATCGCGGCTGACTGCATATCAAGGTAACTGTCAGCGTTATAAAAAAAGGAGGAAGAGGGAGAGTAATTTACTGTGATTCTCACTTAGTCTCCTAAACAACGTTTGCACTTTCCGGCGGTGAGGCCTGCGGTCTTAAAGGTGAAAGTTAAAGGGTCCCCTGACCATGAAGAACATGGGTTTCCAGCCGTGTGAGGAAGAGGGGATTCCTTGTATTAGTTTACCTAAGATGGGCTTGGATCACCCATGACCACCCAAATAAAACCACCCCTCGCACTTTACAACGTGGCTCAACTTATATATATACATAAATTCATCCAGCGGTAGATCTACGTCAAACCGCTGACTCCACAGAACCCAGGTCCGGCGAAGTAATACCAAAAATTTGACGCCAGTTGAGTAATGGAAATGCCATGATGATGGCAAAAATCCTTGACAAAGGGATGAACTGGCAAAGTCATCCCTGAGGTGAAGGCCCGGGTATATACTGGAAGATACCCAGGAGGAAGAAGGCTGGACCTAAAGTTTATATCCGGGAGAAGGTAATCAAACCATCTCTCGTCAAAATGCCCGTCTTTGTACGCCCTAACGATGTCCCTATTTTGAGTCTTTGGTACTGTCACGTCGACCGTAAAGAAAGGCCGGTCAGGGTCTCCACTCATACCAGCCAATGAGGCATCCACGACGGAGGCGGTGAATCCACTCATTTCTCCCCCTACCAGGGAACCTTCGTCGCTGTCATCTCCCTCGACCAGAATGTCAAAGCTGTCAATTTCTCTCGCTTCTGCCACGTAGTCCTCGACTTCCCTAAGGACGGAGTTGTCATCTGTTGAAGAAGATGTCCACGAAGCTTCTGCGGTAGAGGGAGAGTCTGGCCTTACAATAGACGAAGGGGGCCTTCACGGCGGTTATATGGTTTAGGAGCCATTGTTCTGGTATAACAAAAAAAAGGGATGATATGAGGAGCTAAATTAAAAGCCTAAGTCGAGCGGGGGAGGATAAGCAATGGCAACGATGATTGTTTAAAACCACCAATGACTGCAAAAGTTATGAGAACGCCGATGACTCATAAAGCCGTCGATCATTCACAAGAAAAGAACGATGAACGCTCATGAGAGACCCAGGTTTCCCAGCTAAACCATCCCAAATCCAGAACCTCAAACTCTTTATGAACGACCAGAAACCTAAAAGCTAGCCTATAAGGGTTCAGATGTACGCAAAGTAAGTCTTTTTAACCTCCTGAATGTCTACTTCAAGCCTAAAGCATATAATGATCCAACAGGTACCGAGCAAGAAAAAGCAGAGAATAGAGGGAACCAGGAACTTTAGAAATGGCGAAATCTGAAAGCTTAACTCGAAAGAACTTCGCGAAATACCGAAGGGAATGAGAAAGGTGGGATATGGAGGATTTTGGGAAAATTTGGGCAGAGTAACGGTAGTTATCAGAAGTTTGGACATAGATGGTCTCAGTTTGAAGCAGACTTTTAAAGGACCTCGACCCCTTGCCATTGGATAGAATCCCAGTGAATCCAATGGCAAGGGCAACCGGTCAAGATCGAACGGTAGTAACAAAGGCAGAAAGCTAAAAATACGCGATCCAACGGCTCATATCCATCCATTTAAATGAAGGTTCACGTCAGCATGATGATTGAACTGACGCGACATTTGTACTTCTCGATGGATTTTTGAAGCACCAGAGCCATCATTGCAAGGGAGGCTCGGAGTTAGGCTCCCACACCCGAAGCAGGCAAAAGAAGTGCCAGAACGAATCCCAGACCTAGCTTGAGGCAGTTCGAAGAAAACCTCGACCTGGTGGGCAGTTGTTGTATGGGAAAATATACACTGACACGTTTGACAACGGCCATGCCCCACATGGCCCCGTGGCTACTGTGAACCCCCCCCCCCCCCCCCCTCCCTGGCCTGGTGGTGTAAGAGCTGAGTGCATAAAGGGGCATGAGACCGTTGACCCTATATACAGTCAAAGCCTGCGTAATTTGTTTCAAAGTATAGCGATAGGGTCGACCGAGAGAAACGCCACACTTGGCAAAGTATAGAGTGGGCGCAGAGGGCAGAACGCAAGCAGCTGGGCCCGAATTCTAAGAAAGACCTCTGAGGTGGCAAGCTGGAGATCCCAAGGTTGCGTCTGGGTTTGGAAAAGGTCAGTTGTGCAGGAAATGATTACAAACCCCTAAACCGCCTGGAACGAACCAATGGGAGTTACAGAGAATCTGTAGAGCCGTAATAGGGGGACAAATTAGATGAGTGAACAATCTAAAAGGGACTGACAGGCTACAATCTAGGTAAATAGGATGGTAGGCCACTTGAGTGGATGGGTCACTCAAGAGGATGGGCCACTCGAGAGGAACCGCCAAAAAACCCCAAAGACAGCTAGTCCAAGGGGGATGTTAATGGATAATCTGTAAGCTATAAAAGGGGCAAAGCCCCAGAGAGAAGGGGGATTAGATTTTTTCCATGTAATCTGTGAAGAATAGAAAAGAAATAAAATACAGTGGATGTAGCTCTTCTTTGATAAGGGTGAACCACTATAAAACATAATACTAAATACTCTACACAATACACCCAAAGCATAAGCACCGTGTCTAGAATATTTAGTTAAAATTAAAGGTCTTAACTGGTGTCCCAACAGACTACCGAGGGGTAATCCGGTAAAATCTTGTTGACAAAAATCAACCGTTAACAGCTTTTATGAGGATGCTCCTGGCATTAATACATAATGTGATTCAAATATCACAACTAAATTCCAAGGAAAACCCTTTGAATAGACCTGAATCAGAACATGAACCGAAACGGTGAGCTTATTTAACCGACCCAAACCATGCTAAACCTTCTTGTTTTACCCAAAATCAACAGTTTTTCACCAATTCGTGCCCTTTTTAAGTATAATTGAGCATCGTTACCTACTGAGTCAAAAAAAAAAATATTAACATATGATATTCAAAAAAAAATATCACGTTTTATTTTTTTAGTACAAGTGGTTGTGATTCAATCTGAAACATTTCTTAACATGTAGGACCCTTATTCCATCCGAAAAATAGTACTGGACCCGTCGATCCATCTCTACACTTTTTTCTTTTTACTTTAAAAAAAAAAAAAAAAAAAGAACCCACCAAACGCGTATTGAATTTCTGTCTACAGTTTCCACCGCCAAAAAAAAAAAAAAAAAAAACAGATTGCTTTACTTTCTTTTGCGCGTGAACACACATTTTCCATTTGGTCTTTATATGTTTTTCTTCTAGCCATCAAAATAATACCTCTTTCTAAATCCACTTTCCTATGCTCTTTCCTATCCAACAACGTCACCAACTTGGTTGGCCCTTTACCAGTTGCGCCAATAGCTTTCTGTTTTGGTAACACCCAATTAATTGAAGTCTTTCTAGTAATATTCTAGCTAGCTATTACGCATCCACAGCCATATCTCCACTTTTCAAAGCTGGCACTGGTTTTGGACTATCTCTTCACGGCTACAAGTTATCCACTCCTCAAGATTCTATATAAAGGCTTTAGTTGCTCAAATTTCTTCATTAAAATTAACATCTCTCTCTCTCCTTAGCTAACAAAAGCAAATACTTGTCATTTTCTTACTTTCTTCCTTCCTCTCTCTAGAGTTGTATATCTGAATTGATATTGATGATCAAAATGTCCAAAATGCCTTTGATTACTTTGTTCATGGTCAGTTGGCTGATGGCTGCGGCCACAGCTGGAAATTTCTACCAAGACTTCGACATCACTTGGGGCGATCACCGAGCTCAAATACTAAATGGAGGCCAACTTCTCACTCTCAATCTTGACAAGGCTTCTGGGTCGGGTTTTCAATCCAAAAATGAGTACTTGTTCGGTAGAATCGACATGCAAATCAAACTTGTACCTGGGAATTCAGCTGGCACCGTTACTGCTTACTATGTAATAACAATAACTTCACTCCTTTCACTATCTTTTTATTACTTTGTTTTTACATTCAGGCTAACATATAAAATGCTTGCAGTTATCTTCTCAAGGTCCAACTCACGATGAGATTGACTTTGAGTTTTTGGGAAACTTATCTGGAGACCCTTACACACTCCATACAAATGTCCTCAGTCAAGGAAAGGGAAACAGAGAACAACAATTCCATCTTTGGTTTGACCCCACTAAGGCCTTCCACACCTATTCCATCGTTTGGAACAAGCAACGTATCATGTAAGTAACAAATATATGTATATATATATATATTAATTTCATCACTTACTCAATGAAGATTAATGGCTCATTAACATTTGATTTCTAACTTAATACGTACGTAAATTTGTGTGCAGTTTCTTAGTGGACAACATTCCAATCAGGGTGTTCAACAACTTGGAATCAACTGGTGTCCCATTTCCCAAGAGCCAACCAATGAGGATTTACTCAAGCTTGTGGAATGCTGATGACTGGGCAACAAGAGGTGGGCTTGTCAAGACTGACTGGACAAAAGCTCCTTTCACTGCCTCCTACAGGAACTTTAAGGCCAATGCTTGTGTTTGGTCAGCTGGAAAATCAAGCTGCGACTCGAAGAGTACTTCCGCCGCCTTTGAGGATGCCACGTGGCAGGATCAAGGGCTGGACGCCGCCGGCCGGAACAGACTCCGATGGGTGCAACAGAAGTACATGGTTTACAACTACTGCACCGACTCCAAACGCTTCCCTCAAGGCCTCCCTCCTGAATGCAAGCGATCGAGATTCCTCTAAACGTATTCATAATGAATCAGTTATTCATTGTTGCATATAATTTGATACTCAATTTGTTTGTTTATTCGTTTTGTGAGTTTTGAGAAACTATACTTACAGTATCAAATTCTTTTATTCTATTTGAAAATATTTATAAGTGAAGTGTTTGATAAGTTTTGCTTTTTTTTCTCCTAGTTTGTTTGTCCCCCCTCGTCGCATAATAAATAAATTGTTGATTGGAAATTAGGTTATGTAGCATTAACATAAAATGATGCTATGCAACAGTTTCTATTATTTAATACTCAGATAGACATGGCAAAAAGTATCCAATGTCAAAATCAAATAGATTTTGAGCACAAATAGGCAACTATAAATTGGTCATATGTAGAACCTATAGGCTAAAAAGCAGGGGATCAATCTTTTTTATTAGCATCCAACCCATTCTCAATTGTGCAGACTCCGTAGCACACACGCATGAGTCATGAGAAAAAGAAACCATGTTCTGCATGGTTCGGATAGATGTTGCATTATTCTCGTAATTATTTATATCATTTTAAGAGAAGCGGATTTTATTAGCATTGGTACGCATAATAATACTCAGTTCGGAAATTTCATATTGCCAGGACATTGAGTGAAGCGCCTAATAATACTTTCATAAGTGTAATTGAAAATTATAAAGAAAAAAAAAATTCAAGTTTAACTATTGTTTTATTCAATTCTATTATTTATGCCACTATACAAAATTTTAGTGTTACTACAGAAAATATTTTGCATCATAGGAAGTGATAACTTGCATGTTATGAAAGACAACTTGCATGCTATGAAAAAATAACTTGCAGGTTATTAATGGAATAAGATAAATTTGATAAAAATTGTATTATTTTATTGATGCCATTTTTGAAAATTTTCTAAAACATAAAGATACATTTATGGTGAAGAGGCTATCTTACTCCATTGGCAAGAACTACTTTTTAGCCGTTGGATTAGTTTTTCAACAGTTTGATCTATAGTAGGGACATGCGGTGACGGCAAGAGCTTTATATTCGGCATTTCTGTGTCATGCGCTGTAAATTTTTTATGTGGACATGCACATATAATTAGATCGTTAAAAAAACTAATTCAACAGTTAAAAACAACCGCTCTTTACCGCTCTTAGCGATAGATAAAAAATTAATGTCCTAATATAAAAAATTCCCAAAAAATAGTTTAAAACAATAAAAAAATATGAAGGGAGTTAATTTTTATTTATTTATTTATCTATTATTTTTTAACTTTGAGGGCAAATGATTTGAACTTAAAGGCTTTTTTTTTTTTTTTTTTGTAAATTAATCATTCTAAACTTTGAATTTTAGCATTTAGGACCCCTAAACTTTACCATCTTTGGCAATGCAGTCAAATCATTGACAGACATCATTAATGGATGACAATTAGGATTAGTGGTCATCTTAAACAAATTTGAGGTCTTAGGTGAAAATTTTAAAAAGGACCTTTTCCCTTTACCAAAAAATAATGACAAAACTCTAACAATAATCATTATTAAATTGGTAATGAAGAAGTAACAAAAAAAGATATCATCTAAAAAGAATGTTTAGAACTTGAAAAGTTCTTGAAATAACCGTCAAACGTTAAAAAAAATAACAAAAAAAAAAAAAAACGGGGTATAAAAAGTTTAGGATCCAACGTGCCAACTAACAAAAATTTTGGCTAGCTTTTCGTGTAAAAATTTTGGACAATTTTCATCTACTAATTAATATTCGTTAGTTATTGTAACATAATTATAACAAATTTTAAAATTTAGAGTACTATTTATCAAAGTTAAAAGTTCGAAATCTAAATTATCAAACACTGAGAATTTAGGATACGCCAAAGGACTCTTTTTTTAAAGCTGTGTCGAATTACCGATAACTCAACCTACATTCCATTTTAAGAAAAAAATTTTCAGAGTCCAATATAAAGTAAGATAATTAAAATGTTGCATTTTTTTTTTTCTCTTGATACGAGTAGCTATTACTCAATCCGAAATATTTTTCAACATGTGAGAACTTTATGGTCCTATCCAAAAAATATAACGGGGACCGGTTGATCCTTCCCCACATAAGAAGAAGGGAAAAAAAAAAGGCCAACAAACGCGCATTGAATTTCTGTCTACAGCTCCCACCAACATACCATGCATATATAAAGATTAAAGATTGCTTTTCGTTGTTTACCGCGTGAACACACATTTCCCTTTAGGACTTCATATGTTTTTCTTTTGGTCATCAAACAAAACCAAAACTTATATCCCATTCTAATAAAACCACTTTCCTATGTTCTTTCCTATCCTACAATATCACCAACTTGTAATTCCTCTGCCAGCTGCGCCAATAGCTTTCTATTTTGGTCACACCCAATTAATTATTAAAATCTGATATATCTCCAATTTTTAAAGCTGGCATTAGTTTTGGACTATCATTCCTTTTCACTGCTACCAAGTTATCCGCTCCTTCAGCTTCTATATAAAGGCTTTAGTTGTTCCCATTTCATCATAAACCAAAACCTTCTTTCTTTAGCTAACAAAAGCAAATACTTCGCCCATTCTTCCTTTCCTCATTCCTGTCCCTCTAGTCCTAGAGCGGTATATCTGTAGTGATATAGAGATGACCAAAATGTCCAATATGCCTTTGATTTCTTTGTTCATAGTCAGTTGCTTAATGGCTGCAGCCTCAGCTAGTAACTTCTACCGAGACTTTGACATCACTTGGGGCGATCGCCGAGCTCAAATCCTAAATGGAGGCCAACTTCTCACTCTCAATCTTGACAAGGCTTCTGGGTCGGGTTTCCAATCCAAAAATGAGTACTTGTTCGGCAGGATCGACATGCAAATCAAACTTGTGCCTGAAAATTCAGCTGGCACCGTCACTGCCTACTACGTAATAACAATATATATAATCTTTTATTTTATTTTTTTTTCCTTACTTTCTATGTTTTTATATTCTGGCTAACTTAAATGTACTTGAAACATACCATGTATGCAGTTATCTTCGCAAGGTCCAACTCACGATGAGATTGACTTTGAGTTTTTGGGAAACTTATCTGGAGACCCTTACACACTCCATACAAATGTCTTCAGTCAAGGAAAGGGAAACAGAGAACAACAATTCCATCTTTGGTTTGACCCCACTAAGGCCTTCCACACCTATTCCATCGTTTGGAACAAGCAACGTATCATGTAAGTAACAAATATATGTATATATATATATATATATATAATCACTTACTCAATGAAGATTAATGGCTCATTAACATTTGATTTCTAACTTAATACGTACGTAAATTTGTGTGCAGTTTCTTAGTGGACAACATTCCAATCAGGGTGTTCAACAACTTGGAATCAACTGGTGTCCCATTTCCCAAGAGCCAACCAATGAGGATTTACTCAAGCTTGTGGAATGCTGATGACTGGGCAACTAGAGGTGGGCTTGTCAAGACTGTAATGTTGTATATTACTATATATTTAAACCCAATATTAAATATAATTAATAAATAATAAAAAATAGAAATAAAAATTATTATTGTAAAAATTAATTAATAAAATAAAATAAAAATGTAATTATAGTAGAAATGTATGAAAATAAAAATTGTTACATTAATAAAAATCTAATCTCTTAAATTAGCAGCATCGCTAGAATCATCGTCGTTACATCACAAATGACGACGCATCCCCTCGATAAACCTTTTGTAGGACCCACTTCAGTCTTGTGTCCTCTGTGGGTGCCCAAAAACTGCTCCATAATATCCTCCTTGTTAACTGCTCCTATCGCGGATGATCTAGACGTAGCAGACTGCGTTTGAATCTGCGTTTCTTTTTCTCCCTCCATCCGATGCTACAAATATTATAAGAAAAATAATTAAATACATAATGCGATTTAAAAAAAATATAATTAAACATTATGAGTATACATACAAAAGTCTACACAGTTTGGGGATTAACCCAAGTATCCCCACGACGATTCATGTCCCCCCAATTATCGATGACGGACATCGGCTATTGAGTCCCTGTGGTAGATTGTATAGTAGATTAAATGCATATGAATATAGTGTAATCGATTACCAAATTACCATTTATATTGAATAAATTATTAACAAATACTTACTTTCTTCTCGCGATGTTGGGAGTACGACAACCGACCATGAAAACTCGACCACTTTTGGTTGCTACGATTAAGTTTATTGATTCCTGACTTTTTCTATTTATGATTACATTTAGTGTTAGTAAAATTAATCTTTATTATATATAATAAAACAACATATAAAAGAGATCTAATTACCTGAAACTTGTCAAACATGAATCTATCATAGCAACGACCCCAGTGATCTAGATTCCTAAGGTTTTTCAGAGGGTGGGCCCTAACTGCACTCTCATTTTCTAAACTACCAAGATCTTTGAAATAGTCATGCAAGTCGCTTTTCCAATCCTTATAACATTTTGCAGCCTCCCTGTCGACCACAAACCTAATTATACCATCGCCGCGGTCATAATCGAGGTTGAACCATTCTTGTAATACAATATAAACATATTAAATGATTTTATTATATTTTAATTTAGATTAAATTAAAAAATAATGAAGTTGAATAATTTATACTAGCAGGCGCTGCTGAATCTCTCTCTTATGCTGGATGTCCATGTCCTTCCAAGCATCATGGAAAGGCTCACAGACATCCCTAACATGGATTCCAACGGCACTATCGAACTAGGTGCCATAGTTTCCAATTGCCTTCCAAGTACCTCCACGTTCGTCAAACATGGGGTGATCTTTCCTTCCTTTGCCACTCTGGCTGCGATTTCGTGACCTTTAGCCTTCCCTCGACCTCCACGACTTTGTCGAGGTGCAGTATCAAGTGCTATAGAATGAAATATATTTAGTGATCATATAATACTGATGTAATTAATTTAACAAATTTATAATTATGTAACATACCAGACTTACAGTGTGATGGCAACCTATAAGGATCAGGTGGAGGCTACGCTCCCCCTGAAGAGCCAGCACATGTAGCGACTGGGCTAGACATGATTGCCTGTTATGAAGTTTTATCAAATTTTATGAAAATTAATACAAATTATTTTGTAATATGTCTTTAACATTCTATTAACTATTTTATAATATTTATTGTTAATTTTTTTAATTAGTAATATAAAACTAATTATTACTAATTAAAATTTCCATCTAAAATTTTTAATCATCATATATATAATTAATCATTTTTAACTTCTTAATATTTCCATAGGTCGCCTATTTTTTAATCATCATCATCAAATAAATTTCATAAAAATTTCAATCTACTTACCACAAATTTCAATTTCAATTCTAATTTATAATTCATAATTCTAAATCTAAAACCACAAACTAAATTCAATAGCCAAAACAAAATCACAACCAAAATACCAAAATCAATTTATAAAATACCAAAATATTAACTCACAAAATCCAAACCCACAAACACCGGGGGTTGGAAAACGGTATGGCAGCAAGGCTGGGAGGGCGACAGCGGCCGGAAAATGATGACGACGGCCGGAAAAATGGGCAGCAACGGCGAGGTGAAAACTCCATTTTTTTTATTTTTTCGGAATATTTTTCTCCACAGATGAAGGATTTGAAGAAAAAATGATATATTTACTCTTTTTTAAAGTTTTTGGACGATTTTTAGAGGTTTTTGACAGAGAAGGAGAGAGAAAACCGAGAGGGTCACCGGAAAAAATGGAGAAAAGAGTTATGCAATTGCGTTTATACAGGTGGCTTTTTAAAATGACATAATGTCCTCACAAAAAAATATTTATTGTCATCGTAATTAATATAAAAACAACGTCATTCTTCTTCACCTCATTAATATTTCTGAGAATATTCTTGAAGAATACACCCGTGCTCATTTTTTACGACGACTTTGTTAAAATGTCGTTGTAAATAATTTTAAGGAAACCGTTAAAGTTTCCGCTCTTTTTTTTGGAGAAATTTGAATTCCCAGTTATTTGCGACAACATTATTAAATAAGTCGTCGCAAAAAATAGTTGTTCTTGATAGAATTTTATGGAACCCTTTTTTGTGATGACACGTGTCGTCGCAAAAATAGTCGTCCTGAAAGGAATTTTCTGAAACTATTTTTTGCGACGACTTTTCAATATGTCGTCGCAAAAAATAAAGAAATATCTGGAACTTATTCGTGGGAAACCACCAAATTTTTCACCTCTTTTTGGCCACGTCACCACCAGCTGTAACTATAACTATTTGCGACGACATGTCATCGCAAATAATGGACAAACTGGCGCCAAAATTGTTTGCGCCATATTGGGTTTGGCGCCAACAGATATTAGTGGTGACATGTCATCGCAAATAATTTGTCAACTTTTAGCGACAATATATCGTCGCAAATAGTGAAATTTTATCCAACGACATGTCGTTGCAAATAGTGAATGCGACGACAAGTCGTTCAAAAATTTTGTTTTCTTTTTGGCGATGACATGTCGTCACTAATACTGTAGTTTTAGCAACAATAAATGTCGTCGCTAATAACCCTTTTTATTGTAGTGCCAGGACACTGAGAAAAGCTCCTAATATTATATGAACTTTTTTTTAAGGCTTTTTTTTTTTTGTAAAATTAGTAAAATGACCTTTTTTTATTAACGTAGTAATCAATCACTTATTGATTGATTAATTTAAGTTTATCATTGATTGACTCATTAGTTTTTCATTATTAATCAATATTAATTAAAAATAAACCAAAATCAATTAGTAATTAATCAATATCAATCAACAAATTATATGTTTACTAATAATAAATCATTGCTAAATTATAATAATGAATCAGTCAATCATTGCTATTGGAGAAAAAGATCATATCGTAAAAATAAAAGAAAAAAATTGGCCATTTATTTAAAAAATAAAAAGTTGTCAAAAAAAAAAAACAGCCATTTATCTGATTTTTTTAATTTACTTTCATACGTCTAACTGAAAAGGTAACAAATAATTTGAAAATAATAAATAAACCCTCTTGTAGGGAGTTGATTTTATGTACATGGACTTTTATGTGTGTGTGTGTGTGTATAACTTCGAGGGGCCAAAGGGTTTTGAACCCGGTGGCTTTTTATTAAGCTAACTAGCTAAGTGTGGAATAACCGATAACTTAGCCTACAATGTAAGAAACTTCATTGCATAGTTCGCTATACGTCTTTTCGTTTCTTTTCTCTTCTCTTTCCATTTGCGATATGATTATTCAAAAATTTCTTCGAGGCTTTGAGCTAAATGTAAACTCACGGTAATAAATTCTTAGATATTGTTTTTCATTTTTAAAGTTTTAGATACAGTATGATTCAAACTCTAAATCTCAACTTTAAAGATGCAAGTGAAATTGTTGCTAGGTCAAGTTGCAACAAAAAATTTATAGATGTCTCTCTCTTTTTGTTGGTAAGTTCATAAGAAAATTAGTAAACTCATTTTTTAAATGCATTAGTATGATATTTTTACCCTTTACTTTTGAGTAATACCATTTTAACTAATATAGCTCCTTGACTAAGATTCATGCATTCTAAAAGATATTTGTCTTATTTTCCCTAAATTTTCATAGATCTCATTTGTATGTATACTACGAAATTTTGGAATCTGCATGGAATTTGAATATCATGATAAACTAGTTCAAGAGTGTGTGAACTGTGAACTGCAAAACAATTATATTCCTTGCAAACTCATATACCATATTCCTAAAACGTGTGAATCTTTTGCCTCCCGTTTTTGAAGTAGCTCTAATTAAACTCTTAGGGCCCGTTTAGTTCGTTGATTCGAGTTTTTAATTCGAGTTGAGATATAATTTTATGTGAGGGCTTTTTACTGTAGTAAAAAAATTAGATGTGATTGTTTGTGAGAGCTTTTTACTGTAGCAAAACTCGAATTATAAACTCGAATCAGCGAAATGAACGGGGCCTTAATCCAGCTCTAGATGACCTGTTCTTTTTCTTTCTTTCTTTCTTTCTTTCTTTCTTTCTTTCTTTTTTAAGTATAGATTCCCACTTTCCCTTGACCTTCCTTTCTACTTCTCCCAGCAGTCTCTAATCTCTCTCCTCCTATTATAGCCTTTGACCTTACCAATATATATTGGCCAATAACAAATAAATAAATATATCATACATAAAAAATGTCAATCATGGGACAAATTATATTTTTATCACTTGGTTTTCTATGATCCTTCTTCTTTTCCAGGCAGCATGGTCTCAAATTTTCAAATCCATCTCCAGCAAATAATAACATTGCCAGCTCTTAAGAATTATAAAACAAATAAAAATAATAACCTACTTGAGATTAGAAGCTCCTATATAAAGGCTTCTAAAACCCGAAAGTCTACACCACAAAAACTCACATCTTCTTTTGATTTTCAAATCAAAGAGTACTAATATTCAGAAAAGATTAATAGTAGCAGCAAAAGATGATCATGTCGTCGTGTTATAACAAACTAGTTTCAGCTATTTGGTTGCTCTCTGTAGTCACCATTACCTCGTCAATCATTCCTTGTTCTGCGAATTTCTACCGAGACGTCGACATAACTTGGGGCGATGGGCGAGCTAAGATACTCAATGGAGGCCAAGTTCTGACGCTCTCACTTGACAAGAATTCTGGTTCTGGTTTTCAACCCAAGAATGAGTACCTCTTTGGAAGAATAGATGTACAAATCAAGCTCGTACCGGGAAATTCTGCTGGCACTGTCACTACATTTTATGTACGTACATTTTCAAAGTTTTTACATTCAATGGTTTTTATGTGGTTTTCATTGCTGATTTATCCAGTAAACTATTTGTATGGCAGTTATCTTCTCAAGGACCAACACATGATGAGATTGACTTTGAGTTCTTGGGAAACTTATCCGGGGATCCTTACACACTTCATACAAATGTCTTCAGTCAAAAAAAAGGGAAACAGAGAACAACAATTTCATCTTTGGTTTGACCCCACAAAGGCCTTCCATACCTATTCCATTGTTTGGAATTCTCAACGCATCATGTAAGAACCCCTTAAAAAAAAGTACATCAAAAAACTTGGATCCAAATTAGACAATACAATTTATCTTAAAAGAAAGACCTAGTCATAAAAGCTTGGTGACCATGGTGTCTTGAACGATTTAATTATAAATGTTTGTACATTAATGACTAGGGATACTTTCCTATCGATCAATACATCAGTTTCCTAACATGTATTTTTTCTTATTTCCTTTCAGATTCTTGGTTGATAACAATCCTATAAGAGTGTTCCACAACTTGGAACAACATGGCATTCCATTCCCCAAAAATCAACCTATGAGAATTTACTCAAGCTTGTGGAATGCTGATGACTGGGCGACTAGAGGAGGACAAGTGAAAACTGACTGGACAAAAGCTCCTTTCACTGCTTCTTATAGGAACTTCAAGGCCAATGTTTGTGTTTGGTCGGCGTCCACATCGTCTTGCGACGTCTCCAATACCAATTCCCTGCAAGATAGTACATGGCAGGATCAAGGGCTCGATGCCGCAGGGCGGAATAGAATCAGATGGGTGCAACAGAAGTTCATGGTTTATAATTACTGTACTGACTACAAGAGGTTTCCTCAAGGGCTTCCACTCGAATGCAAGCGATCTAGGTTCTTGTAGACATCATTGTAAATAATGTTTGTTTGATTGCTCTGTATCTCCATTTTTTGTTTATTTTTGTTATTGTCAATTTGTGTATTTGTTGTTGAAATTCTTTATTGTTTTTGAACAAAAAATTGCGAATCATCAATAAAACAACATTTGTATTCTTTTAATTGTTAGTCATGTTGTCCTTTTTTTTTCCAT